CATTTATCTTACATTAAATGAAGATTTTTAAATTCTGCATAAGAATTAAATGCGTGTGCCCTGATCTGTTCAGTCTTTTCATTACTAGTCAATAGACATTAACTAGAGAAATTTTAATAAAGCAGTAGTCCACGATGCTAGGATGGGATCTCGGGAACCCTTCCCTAATTCCTAATCCACCAGAATGCTGAGCCACCAGGGCCAGCGACACAAAGAAGCGCTGTCCCCTGCCAAGCGCCGCCCATCGGGCTCCCACTCCAGCCGGGAGGAAGTTGGGAGGAGACTGGCTCGGGAACCCCTCCTCTCCTCGGTCTCGGTCTCCTCCCTGCTCCGGGCTCTCTGCGGCTGCTCGGAGGTGCCTCGGTGCTCTGCTGAGAAGCCCCTTGAGTGTGAAGCCCGCGGAGCACTAGGCCCTGTCCTCCCAGCTGCCTGGTGGAAATCGCAGGGTGAGTGCCCGGCGTGGACAACCTCGCGGGAGAAGGGATGAGTGACCTGAGACCTGGCCTGGCTTGGAGGGGGCGAGGGGGATGCGGGATTGGGGGGGGGGGGGACCTTGGCTCTGCAGGCCTGGGTGTGTCCAGATGTTGGTCAGAGGCTCCCTAGAGCTTCCTGTCTGCGCTCTGGGGGTGACTTTCCTTTGCTAGCAACCCAACCATCTTGCTCCTGCTGGCCAGGGTCTGACAGTGACGTTTGTGTGTGCCTGCTTTGTGTGGGCAAATTCCAGACAGGCCCCTTGAACAGCGGGAGCATCTAACCCTCGGCTTTCAGAGGAGAGTGGGTTTGCACACCATCACCCGGGCAGCTGGTGACAAAGCCCCTTGATCTTTGCAAACGGGGTCTCTAGGACCAAGATTGCCTTCCCACTTGCATTGTTCTCAAGGGCCTGGAGTGTGGGTGTGATTAGAGGAAAGGGCAGTTGTCCCCGCCTCCTACAAGCCCACAGTGCCAGAGGCCTGGAGAATCCGCAGCCTGAGCTTTTCCACTTCTCTCCCCTCCTCCAAGGCTAACCACCCGCCCCCTTCCAGCGCCCCCACTCCTCCTCTGACGTCACACATGTGCTCTTTGCAGACTGGCTATTAACCAGGGAGGAAAGGAGGGGAGAGGGCAGCCCTCGCCAGGCTACAAGCCTAGTGCTGGCTTCCCCTGGGAGTTTGGGAAGACCTTTCTTACACACTGTATATTTGATAGACCGTTCTTGGGCAAGCAGGCCCACTGGCTAGGCGGAGGCAGCATCTGGTCTTTGAAAAGCAAAAAGCAGATGTCCTCACTCCTGGGTTAGGGTCCCCAATTACCGGGCTGAGAGTTACCCAGTAAGGAAAACCGCACCAATGTGAGGGAGAGGGAGACAGACCCACACAGGAGTCCAGGAATGCCAGAGGCAGTGTTGTGAGACAGGAATAGGGCAATAGTAAAAGCCAGGTTTCGAAACCTTAGGCCTACGGGGGATGGGAAGGGTTGACTGGAGAAGACCCAGTGCAGGGCTTGAAAGACACACATACAGCCCCAAGTTTATTGCTGCTGATTTTTAATTTGAGCGTGTACTTTACTTTGTGTTTGTTTTATTATTTTTCTATCTATCCATATGCATTGCATATGATTTAAGATGTATGAATTAAACAATCTCTTAAGTTAAAAATAAATAAGGATATAGTGGGGAAAGTGAGATGGAATGCAAAGAACTGAGTAAGTCTGGGTCATAGGAACTGTGGGGAAGCAATTAAAATGACACAGATTTGTATGAAGACAGACTGCTCACCTCCCCCTGCTTAATATGAATGGGTTAAAATGTGGGAGACCTGGGACTTGATAGATACTGATGTATTCTTGATGCTTAAGAACCAAACTCCGATGCTGCATTTCTTGGATTTGGATCCACTTACCACTTATGTGATGTTAAACAAGCAACGAATTCCAGACCATTTAAAGACTTGGGGTTTTCTTACTCAAGACTGTACAGTGGAGATAGTGATAATACCACATAGATCATCAGAATTATTAAATAAATCATGTATTACAATGTCAGAAAGCCTCTAAGCTATGCATTGTTATAGCTGTCACTTCTGCAATATTTCTGCTACTCTACTATTACCCTTGTCTTATCCACATAAAATATGTTCAAATTTTACACGGTGGCTTGAAATTCACAGTGAAAGCATTATCTAGATCAGTCTAAGTAGTCTCAAAATGGATTTAGTTCATGCTTGAACTAGCTTAGAGAACAGCTAGCAAGCTAGAAATATTCATATAAGTTATCTTCTTGGGTGTGTGATGTAACCACACTGTGGAAAGCATTGGCTAAGGGGGAAGGGTCCGATTGGGCAGTTCTTAAGGGGCTGTGTATGGATGGGTGGAGACCTGTCATTGTGGGCACAACTGAGTATTGAGGGAGATATATGGAACTGAAGAAGTGGGATTACTTTAGGATCCTGGACTCATGTGAAGATGACGCCAGGAAACATTGCCTGTGTTTGGCCTATTTCTAGGGTTTCTCTTACTGGTTTTTATTCGTACTTTTGTGTGGTGCTCAACATTCTTGTGCATATATCTTTAATTTTACCACCCTTTTTTTGTAAGAAGATTGTTAGACGGGGGCGTGGCTGGATCTCCATTTGCTCTCCTTTGTCTTCTCATCTTTCTCCTAGTTCACTGGTTTTTTTTATGAGAAATGTGCATTATATTATATGCCTGACTAGAGGTATTATTTTTTGTATAAATGGTCACTCAACTTTCCTTCTCTGTGTGAATCTTAACTTGGAGGATCAAGGTTTCCATATATAGACATGGAGCAGGGAAAGAGGGGAAGAAAGGGAATTTGAAATGGGAGCAGAGGCTATCCTGGGCACCAGCTTTAGGCTTGAAGAAGGGAGGAGATAAGCTGGAAAGTTTTAGGAATTTCCCACCCTACAGTATGGAAGATGAGACCAGGAGAAAGGAGTCAGATTTTCCCCTGTGGACACAGGTGAAGCCCTGTAAGTTTCTCTTCAAGTATAAAATTTGATTAGAGTGCTTTTACTTTTTATTATTTTTTAAATATTTTATTTATTATTTTTATTTTATGTGTATGAGTGTATTGCTTGCATGTATGTGAGTATACCCATGTTGTGCAATGCCGTGGAAGTCAGAAGAGAGCTTCGGATTCCCCTGGAACTAGAATTAAGGACAGTTAGTAGCCACCATGTGGTTGCTGGGAATCGAACTTGGGTCCTCTGCAAGAGCAGTCAGTGCTCTTAACCTCTGGGCCATCTCTCCAGCCCCTAGAGTGCTTTTAGAAGAAAGCAGGAACATGACCTTGTAACCTGGAGGCGAGATTCCTTTAGACATGAATTACTAAAGAACTAAACTGGGTTAGTAGCCGTGTGGCAGGAAATTTTGAATGAGGACATGAATAGGATTTGTGGCCTGCGGGAAATGGGAAGACACGGAAAAAGGGACACATTGTAACTCTGTGCAGTGCTCTGCCCTGTTATTTGTGGACACTAGGAGGGGCAAGGACTAGCTTCTCACCAAACAATTGCTGGCTGGTTGTATCCGCTCGATATTCTTTGAGGCAGATAGAAAGTTAATGCTAGCTAGCATTTAACTGCTAAAAGCATTAGGCTTGTGTGATTTTACTTAGAAGAGCTATATTTTTTAGGGAAGGTAATATATTTGATTTTTTTTTTCAGACAAGGTTTCATGTAGCCAAGGCTGGCCTTGAATTCTGGATACAGGCTGCCTCACTATGAAACCAGTCAATATGTGCTTAATTGGGTGGTTGTAATACCTAGCATCAGGTTAAAATTCTTTGCTCACTTTCCAAGGATTCCATATTATTCACATACATAGAGTGAATGATTTACTCTTAACCAAACAAGTATAAGCACTTTCCAAGGATTCCATATTATTCACATACATAGAGTGAATGATTTACTCTTAACCAAACAAGTATAAGCACATAGGTGTATTGTGTGAACATAACTGAACACTGGTGAAAGACTGGAGAGCAGCCTTGAGGGGGAGCTCATAGTGGAGAGGCAGAGGGCATTTGGGAATCGCTATATACATTGACACACCTTCTTCAGCTGCATCTCAGGAGCAAAGAAAAAAATCTACCAGTATTTCATAACCTGTTTCCGTCTGCTCCTGTTTGTCTGGGACTTAGAACCAAGTTACAGAGAGCGTCTACATTCCTCTTATTCAGCCTGTGACTGACCAAAGGACCTTCTCAGGGAGCTCAGACTATTCAGTTTGAGGTTCTAAGAACTCCAAGCTAAAGTTAATAAGACCAGTGAGGAAGCCAAGAAGGGTGGGACCACTGTGGGAACAGAACAGGCTGTACTACTGTACTGGCTCCCGGAGGCTGTCACATAAGATGACCGCAAATAGGTTTGCTTGAAACAATGGGATTTTATTCCCTCAAAGTTCTAGGGGTTTCGAATTTCAGAGAGGCTTCAGCAGTCTTGATTTCTCCTGGAGTTTCAGAGATGAAATTTTTACCATGTCTCTCTCATAGTTCCTGGGCTTTACCAGCAGCCCTTGGCATTCCTTGGTCTGTAGACACATCCCTTCAATCTCTGTCTCTGTCTTCTATCTTATGTTTCTATGCCTATCTGAGCCTGATTTTTTTTTCTCCTTAGAATGACATCAGTCTTTGGGCTAGAACCATCCAAATCCACTTGGTTACATCTGCAGAGACCCTGTTTCCAAGTAAATTCATATTTACAGATACAGAGGTTTAGGAATCCAAACTGTCTCTTTGGGAGACACAATTCACCTTCCTTCCATATGTTCACCTTGGTGATGGAAAAGTCGTGTATGCTGTTTGACTACGACTATTTAAGAGGATGGGACACAATGGGCATTTGAGATTCTGGCCATGAACACTGAGACTCCAGCTATTCCAGAGATGGTCTTAGCACACAGTGGGAAGATTGCTTCAGCTAGTGAGGTGAAATGCTCTGCCTAGTTTTGATTGTCTAGAGGTTTTTCACTAAACCGAGTTTGTGCTTTCTTCTCTATAGAAACTAACAGAACCATGGCAACCCCCTCTGCTGCCTTTGAGAACCTTATGAATGGAGTGACAAGCTGGGATCTCCCTGAGGATGCCATCCCATGTGAACTGCTTCTTATTGGAGAGGCCGCCTTTCCTGTGATGGTGAATGACATGGGCCAGGTCCTCATTGCTGCCTCCTCCTATGGCCGAGGTCGCTTGGTGGTAGTATCCCATGAGGACTATTTGGTGGAAACCCAGATGTTTCCTTTCCTTCTCAATGCTGTGGGATGGCTTCGTTCCTCCCCTGAGGCTGCCATTGGCATACACTCATCCCTGGCACCTTTGGTGAAAATCCTTGAGACCTGTGGAATAGAGTCAAAGATTGAGCCAGAAGTGAATGACTCCCTGGGGGTTTACTGTATTGACGCCTACAACGAAACCATGACTGATAAGCTGGTCCAGTTCATGAAACGTGGAGGGGGCCTGCTCATAGGAGGTCAAGCCTGGGATTGGGCCAACCAAGGTGAAGATGAAAGGGTTCTGTTCACATTTCCTGGAAATCTGGTAACCAGTGTAGCTGGTGTGTATTTCACTGACAACAAAGGGGACACAAGTTTCTTTAAAGTCTCCAAGAAGATGCCTAAGATCCCTGTCTTAGTTAGGTGAGTATGTTACTATAGTTGGAAGTTGGCCCCAGATTTGTAAGTAGACATGGTTTCGTCTATTGCTTCCAGGCTAACAGAAGAGGCTTTGAAACTAAGACAAGTATTCATAAACCTTCTGAGGCTCAGGAGAGGCACTGTCCGATTAATGCTGCCTCCCCAGAACAATTCATTTAGTTCTTTGAGCGAATGAATTCCTGTTGACTATGAGATTCCTCAGTACTCAGCTTGATAAACATACTGATACCCCAGGAGTTGACATAATTAATCCAGGAAAATTCATAGGAGAATACTTTAAGTGAACAAGAAAATCTTAGGAAAAGAAAAACATGGAAAATCCCATGGATCAAAGTCTAGAGAGCTGTGAGAAAAAATTTGAAATGTCTAACTATGTGTGGTTAGGATGAAAACAGGAAATAGTGGATTTAGAAGTTGAGGTAGAAAAAGATAGAACAAGTTTCTTGTACTAAATCTAGGATTTGGAAAAGGAGTTTTATCTCCTCAAACGATCAGATGGCTGAGCATGGAGGAGACAGATGACGTTGCGGAGCAAGCTCCACTGAAAGTCATTTGAGAATGTTACCCAGTCTGTTTTATATGTATTTAGGGTTGTACATGTAGCAGATTAATACGTGTTCAGTAAATATGTTAGGTATATAATTGAATTGATGAATGGGGAATATTTGAACCAGAAGTTGTCTCAGGAGCAGAAAAAATACACCAAATTACTCCTGATTATGCACTGAAGTTCTTAGCTCTCTTAGAACAGACAACACCGATTCTTCTGACTGATGGAACGAAGTGAGGTGAGATTAGGCAAGGAAGATACGAGGCAGCTGGAGATGACGAATGAGCCCTGTTACTAAATGTATGTGGCAAATCAACCATGCGTATCTGAACTTAGGAAAAGAGGCCATCTTGTCTCATTTTAACCCAAATACTGGACTTCCATGAAGGACTTCTGACCCTCTTTTTGTTTATTCATCTATTTATTGTTCCGGAATTTATTGAATATATTCTGTCACAGTTATTGTTTTTTGCCTTAAGAATATGGGTTACAAAGATTTGATAATGAGGAGTATAGAAGTATTCCTAATGATGATATCTGGAAGAAATTTCAAAAACCAAGTAACTGTGTAGGAAGACAGCTATGCTATTATAGGTCAGAAGAATCTGGAAACCTTGAATTTAGGGCCAGTAACTGTGCAGTATGGTTTTAGAACACCCTTCCAGCTCTCATTTTCCTCCTAGGAGCGTGTTGGAGTAGATGCTCTGAGTCCCCTTTAGATGCTAGTCCCTTTAGACTATGCGTTTTCTGGTCAATTGTGATCCTTGGATGTTCCCAAATCCATCAGGAATGCATGAAAATGAGGTTGGGCAAGTGGGCATGGCCTGAATGCCCCAGTGCTCTGCGTACATTTGCCTGAAAACAACCCTGAGTTAACTTCCCAGTTGGTGTTATGTGTGACCATTTCAGCCTGAAAAATAATGAAGTGATGTTAGCTGCAAAAGAATCTTTTTTGATTTTCAGATTACTAAAGAGATTTCAGAATTTTGAAAGTTGAACATTTATGTGAAATTCTCTAAGACGAAATAAGAAACCTGCCAAAGGGGCTGGAGAGATGGCTCAGCAGTTAAGAACACTGGCTGTTCTTGCAGAGGACCTGGGTTCGAATCCCAGCATCCACATGGCAGCTAACAACTGTCCGTAATTCCAGTCCCAGGGGATCCAACAGCCTCTTCTGACCTCTGCGGGCGTTGCATACCATGGGTGCACTTATGTGCAAGCAATACACTCATACACATAAAATAAAAATAATAAATAAAAAAAGAAACCTGCCAGATTATTGAAGATAAACATGCATAGATCTCCCCAAGTAACTTGGAAAACAGTGTCAGAGCAGGTGCTAATAAATGTATTTGTAACAAAGATCTGGAACTCCTTGGAGGTCATTACTAGTTATATGTGGGCCGTATGTAAAATGGAATAAATCAGTAAAATCAATAGTTGCTTAATTGAAAAAGTTTAGTAAACTGATAAACCACTAAATACACTGATCATGATAATAAGACAGAAAATACAAATAAAGAATTTCAGGAATGGAGATTGGTGAGATGACTCAGCAGTTAAGAGCACTGGCTGCATTGCAGAGGACCCAGGTTCAGTTCCCAGCCCTCACACGGCAGCTAACAACTTTCCATAACTCCAGTTCCAGGAAATCTAATTCCTTCTTCTAGCCTCCACAGGCATTGCATGCACATGGTACACCTACATACATGCAGGCAAAACACATAAAGTGAAAATAAATGACTAATTTTTAAAAAAGGATTTCAAGAATGGATAAAGGGGTGTTAACATGGATCTATAGACACTGAAAAAATAATAACGGAATATTACAACCCTATACCAATGAATTTGTCAGTTTAGATGTAATGAGCAGATTTCCTGAAAGCCACAAATTATCAAAATAAATGTAAGAAGAGAGACAATGTATATTAAATAAATTAAATTGCAATGAAAGCGTATCAACACTACATGCAACCTGGTTTCCTGGACTGAATCCTAGAAGACAGTGATAGAAAAACAAGTAAGTTTTATGAAAATTAGAGATTGCTTGTTTGTTCACTGGCAGGGTCTCACTGTGAAGTCTAGGCTAGTCTTGCTTCCATTCCTTCCCCCTCCTTAATGTTGGGGTTATAGGCATTTGCCACCCTGCTTAGCCAAAAGTCTGGGGTGTAGTTACTAACATTTGGCCTATGTTAACTTCTTACTGCTGCCAAGTATCCCATTGTTGTTTAATATGTTATGATTAAATATGTCAAAGATGTGAAAAAATTCTCTGCAATGTGTTTACGTAAGGATGGGGGAGGGGGTATAAAGATAATTAAGATTTTTTTTTGTCTTTTGAGACAGGGTCTCCTGCAGCCCCAGCTGACCTGGAACTCACTATGTAGACCAAGCTGGCCTCAGTCTCACAGAGATCCGCCTGCCTCTGCCTGCCGAGTGCTGGGATTAAAGGCGTGCACCACCACGCCTGGCTAGACTTTCTATTTTTTTAATTTTAAGATAAAATTTTTATTTAAAACCAGGAAAAGCACACACAGAACTCCCAGCCTTGATAGCTTCACTGGTGCATTTTATCAAATTTTTGAGGAACGAATAACCAACCCTACATAGAAGAAGGGAATAAAGTCTCTCCAACTTTATTAACTAAACCAGCATCTGTCACACTAAAGCTCGAAGAAGGCATGGAGAGATAGCTCAGTAGGACCTGAGTCAGATCCTCCAGAATCCATGTAAAAGAAAGCTGGTCATAGTAGTGCATTGCAGTCTCGGCACTGGGGAGGTGGAGGCAGGAAGGTCCTTGGGGAAGAGAAGACAATGTATATTAAATTGTTGGCCAGCCAGTCCAGCTCTGTTGGTAAACTCTGGGTCCAGCAAGAGACCTAGTCTCAGAAAATAAGGTAGAGAGTGGTTGATTGAGGAAGGCACCCAACTTGACATCAACCTCTGACCTATATATGTGCACATGTGCACACACACACACACACACACACACACACACACACACATTCTAAAATAAAATAACAACACTAGGGAAAGACACAGGAAAATCCTACAGAGCAATATCCTTCATTAGCATAGATGCAAAGATATTAATCAAATGTTAACACGTAGAGCAATGTATAAATATAATATTTATAGTGACCAAATAGGGCTATACTAGATATGAGTAGCTTGTTTAACATTCATAAATGAACTTAATTTACCATATTAACAGGAAAATAATGAGAAAGATATAATTCAGTAGATGAATACAAAACATTTGACAGAATTTCACATGGCATCATGACATAATGTCAGGAAACTTCAAATAAAAATGTATTCAATTTGATAAGAGGCATGTGAGCTTTTAAAAACCTTATTGCTTGTTTAGTTTAATTTTGGTTTGTTGGTTTTGTTGGTTTATTTTTCTTTTGTTTTGAGACAGGGTCTCATGTAGCACAGGCTGGTCTTAAACTTACTATGTAAATGAGGCTGACCTTGAGCTCTTGATCTTCCTGCCTCTATTTCCCAAATTCTGGGATTACAGGTATGTGACATCACACTCAGCTATGAAAACATTATTAAAGGTGAAATAGTGAATATTTTTACCATAGAAGTGAGGACAAGGCAAATAATAGTAATCACTATTATTCTTTATATTAAACATTATATGAAAGAACTTCCCAGTACAATAGGACATGGGAAAGAAGACATAGAAATTGAAAATTAAGAAATATACTTTTCTATACATATTTACCTATGTTAAATTTTAATTTATAAATTAAGCTCAGTATGAAAGTAAGAATAGCGGTAATTAGGTAGAATTATTCAATATACTATAATAAAAGGATTATGAAGGTAGTCTTGCTTGCTCAAACTATTTTTTAATTTATTGTTAAAAAATTATTGTGTCTGTGCATGATGTGTGCCACAGCACACAAGTGGAGGTCAGAAGACAACGTTGCAGAGTCAGTCCTCTCCTTCCACCTTCAAATGGGTTCTGAGGGCTAAACTCAGGTCTCCAGGCTTGTGCGGCAAGCATCATCTCACCAGCCCTCCTCAGACTGTCTTATACTCACTCACTCTTCTCGTGACGGTGTGAGAGGATGCAATGCCTGTGTGATGAAGTGGTTAAAACACTGTGAATGTGGCATAAGGATAGACAAGCAGATCAATGAAACAGACCACATAGGTTAGAGATAGAGGCTCACGTTGTCAAAGTAATTCAGGGAGGAAAGAGCAGTCTTTACAGTATACCATCCTGAAACAACTGAATACCTTATGGAAAGGTGATTGTTGACCCTTACCGTATTTTATATAAAATACTTAAAAATAGGGCTATACGTAAATACAGAACAAAAAATTCAAAAACTTCTAAATGACAGCATAGAAGAAAGATACCTGCACCCCTAAGAAGGGCGAAGATTGTCTATAGAAGTCAGTGGACAAGACC